ACTCCATGAGTCCAGCTTCTGGGCCACTGAAAACCATCTGCTGTTGACTAGTCAGTTATGTGATTCGGGACAAGTCATTTCCTCTCTCTTAGCCTCAGTTTTCTCATCTATGAACTGAAGGGGATAGACTAGATTATCTCAAAAGTCTTCTTCTTTATCCTACAATGACACGTGCCAGATCTCTACTTCCAATCCAATATTCTTTCCACCAAATCCCACAGCCACTCCACTAGAAAAGCTCAGTGTCGACTGAACTCTTTGAACATTTTACCGTGCACCCCCTCTTTCAGAACACTTATTTAGCATCCTTTCTGGGATTCTCCCCTAAGTTGCACTCATACTAGCACTCAATATGCAATGCTTGAGTCTTCAGAGGGTATCTGCTACCCCTAGATTCTAGAGTGTGCCCTGTGGGCATGCACTTCTAACCCTATAGTTCACAAGCCTCCACTGGTGTGCTGCCCATTAACAATCAGCCAGTTGACACAATTGCCTTTCAAAGAAGGCATTTACTAAGGTGGCGGTAAGAACAGCAGCTACAAAACAAATTTGGGGCGTATACTCCCACTAATATAACATCTAGTGGAGGAATAGACACAAACAGTGCATTGGTAGTGAGACACACACAGAGGGAAAGCATGTGCACCAAGGTAACTCACAACTCTGATACTTCAGGATCTGAAAAGCCTTTCTTTCTTTGCAGAGTCCTCACACAGCTCTAACTTGGTTGCCAAGGCTAACTGTCTCAAGTGCACAGCTGGGTCTATTCTCTGACACCAGGGTTTCCCCTCCTGGAAGTGACTTCCTTCCTATGGAAATGGCCCCTTTCTACTTGTGTCTGTCTGAAGTGTGTATCTCTGCTTCCTAATAGATACAGTATCTCCTACTGGTCTAGTTTGAAAGCAAATGGCTGATGGAGGTGAAGGGTAAGGGCAGGGAGGATAGAGAAATCCTCTCCTCTCAGAAGTGGTTTCTTTTCAGGGGGCAGGTTCCTCCTCCACTTCTGGCTCTCCCCTAGATCCCCCTGACCTTTTTTTGTGTAGGCCCAAGGGGTATAACTGATTTTTTCAGTGATTTACTAGGTGTTTACTACCTAGAATCAGTTGCCTTCACTCAATGGCCAAGACTCTATAATCCTCTCAGATTTATTAAGGAACTTCTTCACACATTGTTGTAGGGTTGGAGGGAAACTCTTTAACACCTCCTACCCCCAGCTGAAAATTTGCTGCCCCCAGAAGATCAATAGGGATGCTTTTTGGCAAAGTCCATGTAGCACGGTTCACAAGCGAGACAGAAATTAACATTCTTTCACCATAATTAGTGGGCCATGTAATCACATTCACTTCCAAATACATGCTTTTAACAAACCAGACATCATTTTATGAAATATATCACCTATCTCAATGTTTACAAAGGCCTGCTCCAACCAAAACACAGGAAGAAAAACAAAAAAGGAAATCAAACTTCCCCCTTTCCTTTTCAAAGAGAAAGCTGGATCCCTATATAAAACCACCAGAAAACATGAGGCTTTCTCCATAGGGATTAAGGTACCCACGGTTCACTAGAAGTTACCTCCTCACCCTTTAGGTGAGAAACCAAATCATTTTGTCTTGGTGCTTGTATAATAACACAGGCCTGCTGGACCTAGAAGGGGCTAAGGCACTCATCCTTTCCCCCTCCCATTAAAGGATCTATATTGCTTCAGACCCAAATTCACAGACCAAGTTTAATACTGGGGTAAAAATTCCTCTGGGTCCCTGCAATGCATAGGGTACCTACAATATTTCCTGGGATCCCCTTTCAACCCAAGGGAAATATCCAACTGAATGTCTAAATTCATCTGTCATGGGAACAACTATGCTATTTTTAAACTAAAATAAATTCAGAAAAGCCTCAAAGAAGTGTGCAGCTCCCAAAAAGAGATTAAGCACTTGGGGTTGATTACTCAGGGTTTCTAGGCCAGCAGGCAAATCTTATCCTATGAAAAAAGAGTCCATAAGAATCTCAGATAAACTGATATGGATTCATGGCATGATTTAAAAAAACAACTGTCAGGAGAAGTGGAAAATAGCCTTGTAGAAATTAGGCTTAGATTAATACTTTACACCATATTTCATAACGCATTCTAAATGGCCATAGGACCTTAATATTAAAGATTACACAATAAAACATTAGAAGAGAAACAGATCGTATACCTCTTACAGCTATGGATAGGAGATCTATTCTTAACTGAACACCTTCTACACAAACATAAATAGTGTACCTAGAATAAGGAGAGGAGCAACTGAATGGGAAAAAAACAACTTTATAACAGATTTCCCTGTTAAAGGTTTGGTATCCAAAAGACAAAAATTAACAGATATATAAAACCAGAAGTCATTCTCCAAGAGGTAAGTGGTCAAAATATGTGAACAGTTCTCCAGATAAGAATTTTCAAACTATTAACAACTCATATGAAAGAATGCTCCAAATCACTCATAATAAGAGAAATGCAAATCAAAACAACCTTGAGGCTTCATCTCACATCCTGTAAATTGGCAAAGATGGCAAAAGGTGAGAATAGTAAATGCCGGAGGGTTTATGCAAAGATAGGCACACTAGTACATTTTTGGTGGATTTGTGAATCAGTACAATCATTCTGGAAAGCAATTTGGAATTGCGCAAATGAAATAACTAAAATACCCACACTTTCTGACCCAGAGAGTCCACTACTAGGCTTATATCCTAAGGAGGCTATTGCTAAGAAGAAAGTTCCTATACACACCAAAATACTCATAGCAGCACTTTTTGTAATAGCAAAAAATTCAAAACCAAGTAGATGCCCATCAACTGGGGATGGTTAAACAAACTGTAGTCCATGAATGTAATGGTATACTACTTTGTTATAAGAAATAACAAATATGATAAATACAGAGAAACATAGAAAGATATGAACTAAATCAAAGTGAAGAAAGCAGGGCCAAGAAAATAATACACACAATGACTACAACGTTGTAAACTGAAACACACACACACACACACACACACACACACAAGCAAAAAGTGAATTTGCAACATTACAAAGAACATTCATGACTCAGAAAAAAAAAGCTATGAGAAACACTCTCATCCCACCCCTTTGCAGATATGGGAAGTCTATGAATATGATACATTGCACATATTTTAGCCTTTTCCTATATATTGATCAATTCTGTGATACTTTTTCTTCATTTTTACTTTTTTTGTCTTTAAAAATATTATTTGTTAAGGAGTGGCTCTCTTGGAGGGAAAAGAGAAAGGACAATAGGGAATATATTGATGATGCTCAAAAAAGACACCAATAAAAATTTTATTTTTACAAAATGACCATGAATAGCTTTCATGGTATGCTCTAGGCAAATTGCGAATTGGGCAGCTGGGTGGTGCGATGTGATAGAGTGCCAGGTCTGGATTCAGGAAGGCTCATCTTTGTGAGTTCAAATCCAGCCTCAGATACTTACTATGTAACTCTGGGCAAGTCACTTCACCCAGTTTCCTCATCTGTAAAATAAGCTGGAGAAGGAAACGGCAAACTTCTCCAGTACCATTGCCAAGAAAACCTCAGATGGGATCATGAAGACTTGGGCATAACTGAAAAATGACTGAATATCATCACCAGTATTCGAAGGATACAAAATCTGTACTGCTCATATTAGTTTCCATACTCATAATGGGTAGAATAATAAATAGATATTAATACCAAAGTATACAACCATCCAAATGCTATCTCCAAGAGACTGATCTGACTTGTAAAGGAAGCACCCTGGAAAATGTGTGATACAATTAGAGCTTGAAACAAAAGGAAAAAACATGCTAACTTTTCTCTAGTGGATCCCTGAAAAACTAGGTTATCCAATAAGGAAAGTCCCAGATGGAGAATCACTCCTGTGGGACCCTAACAATGCATAGAGGACCCAAATATGTCCTCGATGAAGTCGCTACAGCGTTAACACCAAGTTGCATTTCCGTTCATAGACCAAATCACCAGAAGGTGGCTATAATTTCTAGGTTCTAGAGTGATCTCCAAGTATATGTATTTATAACACTCAAGAGTAGACATAGCTCTCAGCAAAAGTATTTACTAAGAAGGCATAATAAGAATAGTAACTGTAACACATCCCTTCAAAATCACCCTGGGGGTACACTCTCCTACTAGAGGCAGCTAGATGGCTCAGTGGATAGAGCGCTAGAACTGGAGTCAGGAAGACGCCAGTTCCAATCCAGCCTCAGCCACTCACTAGCTGTGGGACCCTGGGCAAGTCAGTTAACCTCTGTTTGCCTTGATCACACCAGAGAAGGAAATGGCAAAGCACTCTAGCATCTTTGCCAAGAAAACCCCAAATGGGGTTACGAAGAATCGGACATGACTGAACAACAAGTGATATTTTCACACTAAAGTATGAATGATTACCAGTTCCTTAACAATGGGAAGCCTCTACTATAGTGGAAAGAGTCAGAGAACTTGTTTCAAAAAATCCCAACTCAGGTATTTAACAGCCTTGTGAACCATGTTACCTTGAGCACTAACCTTAACTCTCTTAGTTTCCTTACCTGTCACCTGAAGGAGTGAGATGAGACAATTAAAATAACTCATGTTTAGAGAGAACTTGAAGGAGTAGGAAGCAGTGTTTGTTTTTTAGAACGATCCCCTGGGTAAGGCAGCACAAGTGTCCTTACCCCCATTTTACACATGAGGAAACAAGCTCTGAGCGGTTATGACTCAGGCATGGTCATACAGCTAGTCAGTGTCTGAGTCCACTAGACGGTCCCTATGGACCCTTAACATTCTAATATCTATGACTCTATGATTATCCATCTGCTCAAATTCCCTTAGCAACTTCAGACTATAGGCAATTATGAGACAAGAGTTTTAAAGGCAATTACAAGGATAAATTATTTCACCCAAATGAAGCAGGCAGTACAACAAAAAGATTTAAATTAATAGACACAGAGTCTCCTTCAGGTCACAACATAATTCATACCAAGATTCCTTCTATTGTCCTGGGGTTGAACTGCTTGGTTACTGAATCTCGGCCTCCTTGTGCCTGGATCTTTGCCAAAGCTGTCTGTAGCTGAAAAAAACAAATGATTTGACTTAATATTTGATTCTATTCAGCAATTATCCAGCTAAAGTAAAGCACTTTGATGCTGGGGGGTGGGGAGAGAAGATTGGTTTACAATTTAGCATTTATATTTTTACTTTATAGTTTCAGGATATTTATAATTATTATGTTATTTTTCATAAACTACAATGAGGAAGGAAACTTGGACAAGAACACCTATATTAAGAGTGAAGGAGAAGAGGAGACAGAAAAGGGGACAGATGAGTAGTAAGAGAGGTAGGTGGTAAGAGAGGTTAAGTGGTAAGAGAGGTGAATGGTAAGAAAAACCAACATGAAGAGTTTAAACTACTTGAAGCCAGACACACTCCACAACATTCATTCAACAAACCTTTCTTAAGTGCCTACCATATGGAAGACACTATGTCTGTCATCAGGGGAGATGGAAAGGTAAATAAGATATAGTCCCTGCCTTCAAAGGCTTGGAGTCTAATAAGGGTGATAAAATATGCACACAGATAAATATAAAACAAATTAGAATATGTCAAGTGCCTAGGAGGAGAAAGAAAGTGTTGTCAGATCACATAAAGAAGAGGTTTCTTCCAGCTAGGGGAAACAGTGAAGGCTTCATGGAAGAGGTGATATCTGAGCAGAGTTTTAATGGGTGGGCAAATTGTCAACAGGTAGAGAGTATTTCAGATGGAGGCAGGGAGAGAATTATGAGCAAAGACACAGACTTATTAAAGCAATGGATGAGTCTGGGGTAAACAATAGTCTGGTCTCACTGAAACAAGAAGTATATGAAAAGAAGTAGCATTAAAAACTACATTGAAGCCAGAATGTGAAGGCTTTAAATACCAGCTATGGAGTTTGGACTTTTATTTGGTAAGCAAGAACAGTTTCTGAGCTGGGGAATGGTGTGGTCTGATGTATGAATCAGGAAAATGCTTCTAGCTGTGACGTGAAATATGTTAGGGAGTGGGAAGAAAATGGAAACTCATAATGATGTTACTGCAAGAATACAGGCAAAAGAGAATGAGGGCCTTACCTAGAATGATGGCAGTGGAAATAGGAAGGAAGAGAACAGTTGAAAAAGATATTTTGGAAATGGAACTGATACTCCCTCTATTTACTTGGTAAAAAATGGGATGGGTAAGGGAAAAATTAAAGATGATGCTCTTTGTTGGAAGGATTTAGGGAGCTCCTCCAATTGGTCCTAGTTACTAAGTTATGTCCAAGCTAGACAGACTGGTGACCAAGAGCCAGGGGAGGTGGATGTTTGTCCAACGATTCCTCCTACCCTCGTAGTGTATAAGAGCAAGCTCTAGGAATTGCTCACTCCTTTCTTCTGCACACTATCTTCTTTGGATTTTCAGACTCAAGGACAGCAAAGGGGGATGAGAAGGCACGATTTCTCCTTCCCATTGCCTAGGAGCAGAAAACAGTAATTTTTATGAGAAGTGGATGACAAGTGGCCTCTGCTTGCCCAGGACAGCCTGTGAAGGGAATTCCTGAACCTCCAGTACTTAGGTGCCTTCCTGTCTCCTTTGTGAGCACAGGTCAAAGACCACAGTTCCTGAGACTGGCCTTTCCGTGCAAGTTCTAGAGTTCCCAAGAGATCTAGAATTCCTGAATTTGAGAGTTCTGGCACTAGCTTCCCAGAGGAAGAAGACTTATTCAATAACATGCTTGGAGAAGAAAGAGGATCCTCAAGAGATCATTGTTCCTCTGCTGAAGGACTGATGCCCTACTCTGGAGAGAGGCGTCAAAGCAAGACAGCTGGACTGACTCTCTCCAGCCCAGCCATGGCAGGAAGGTCCTCACAAAGAGGAGGGCTGAAGTGAATGGAAAATATTTCTTTAGCAGTCCTCTAAAGTGTTGTTACCTTCTGGCCAGGAAGACAAAGCGAGCAGGTGAGAGGGGAGTCTAATGGGCTACAGAGTTCATTTATTTTTCTGTATTTGTTCACAGGCTCTTATGAGTTCTTAGCTGAGAAGAGCTAGGTAGTGCAGTGTACAGATCGCTGGGCTTGGGGTCAGGAAGATCTGAGTTCAAATTGGGCCTTAGATACTTCCTCAACTGCAGAATGGGGATAATAACACACCACCTCCCAACATTGTTGTGGGGATCAAATGAGATAATGTTTGTAAAGCATTTAGCACAGTGCCTGGCACAAAGTAGGTGCTTAATCAATAATTGTTTCCTTCCTCCTTTCTTTGCATCCTATGCACTTTCTGTAATAGGTGAAGTAAGGTTGTGCTATGTGCAATACTCATATATTGAGTGCCTAGGGAAGAGTTGGGGCACCCTGTTACCTACATTGGGGAAAAACCCAGGAGTCATGTCTAAGCTTTATTCAGGAAGTTTCCTCCAGAGTTTGTAGGGTTGGGGCATAAGCCAAAGGGAGATAATGACCTTTCAGGGTCAGCCCCCAGGGAACCTAAAGTCCCTTGGAGAGGAGCGGCCTGGTTTATAGTTGACACAGGAAAGTTGTAAGACCAGAAGCCAGGTTGTAAGGGATGAAGAGTGATGAGGAAGAAGAAGCTGGAAGGGCACACTATTTTTTTAAGAAATGGGTTGGTGAAAGGAAGAAGATAGTCAGTAGCCCAAGAGAGCAACAGGGTGAGGAAAGGTGTTTTTGTTGTTTCGTATTAGGATGGAACAACTGAGCGTGTTTTCTGGCAGAGGAGAAGGAAGGAGCCAGTGAAGAGGAAGAGATTTAAGATGTAAGGTAGAGACAGAGAATGACTGATGGAGAGAGGTCCTGGATGAGACAAGAGGGGCAAAGGTCAAAGACCCAAGTGGAGCAGTTAGCCTTGCCATAAGGTAAGCAACCTCCTTAGAGAGTGAAGGAGAGGAGAGGATGGCTAAGGAAGTTTTGAGATGTGATGAGATCTCCATCTCGTCAAGGAGGAGGCAAGATCTCTTGGGTTTGGAGGTGGGGAGCCTGGGGACAAAGGGAAAGATCTGGAAAAGGAACTAAGCAGATTGGGAGACCCCCTTAGACTTAACTCCCATTTCCATAACACTTTAAGGCTTACAAAGTACATTACTCAAAATATCCCTGAATGTGAAGAATGCAAGTACTGTTATATTGTTATTCACATTTTACAGGTGGGGAAGGTGAGACTCCCACGATAAAGTGATACAGCAGGGCCCAAAGGCCCTGACTAGCGTAGGAGCTGAGATTCTAACTCAAGGTCCAGTCCTCTTTCCTCTACACCTTGATTCTCAAGCGTACTGAAGGACTGAAATCACACAGTGATACAGGGTAAGGGGTACTCTGAGCTGCAATCTCATTTCTACTATTTCCCAGTGATGTGGCCTTAGACAAGTTACTTGCCCTTCTGGGCCTCTGTTTACTCCGCCAAAAGATAATCACTTTAGACTAGGTGACCTCAAAGGACTCTTCCAGCTCTAACATCCTTCCTCAGAAGTGTCCAAAATTACTTCAGATCTCAATACTCTAAGCAGCATAGACTATTAAACTGGTAGCACTTCCCCAGTGCTTATATTAAATAACCAATTATTGGGGAGATTCAGGTTGTTTTTTTTTCCTTTTTGCTATTTCAAAGTCCAGTCTTTCAAGGAGATTTCTGACCATGCCCAAAAATTTACCCCACCTAGACCATCTTATCTAGTTGTTGTCCCACCTAACCAGAAAAACTTTAGAAAGAAAATCTAATCTGGGTGAAATCTGGCCCACTGTGTTCTAGTTTGAGTGATCAGTCAGGTCTCCCGGCCCCTCATTAAAAGAGGTCTGCCTCTCATTATAATATTTATTCTTCTCATTAATTGTTAACCAGAGTTGATTGCTGCCTATCAGGAATACCACTCTTCCAATGACATATAAACATCAAGAAGTCACCATGATCAGTCTTTGGCATTTGAGAGTGCTACTGACCCCTCTTATCAAATATCTGCTAGCAATAATTAATAAAAATGATTAATTACCCAGAAATGATGTCTCTCAAACTTTTTATATGTCACACCAGGAACCTGTTTCAGATCAACTCCAATCTATGCTTAATGATTAAAAATAAAAAATGCATCCTTTAGCCCTGCTTTAATATCCTCTTCTGACATGTCCTTGGGGTGGGGAGGGGACTCTGGGCTCTCAAAAGTAATGCTAATAGAGCACAAGCTTTCACAGTTTCTACCAAGCTGGAAAGACTTCAAGTATAGGTCCAGAAATAGACTGAATGTCATCGAAACATCAGCCTAGCTCCGAATGGGAAGGCTCATTACCAGAGGGTCAGCTGCCAAAGAGGAACTGCACCCACCCCACCAGCTCATGTAAATGTAGAGCAGACTAAGTCTATGGAGTTATGGAAGTAGATGATAATGGTGAGAGCTGGTGTTGAGAGATCATTTTAAAGTTCAGAAAATGCTCTGGAGACATCCTCATTTCATAGAATCACCATTCTTCAGAATGGTAAAGGACTTTCATGGCCCTCCAGTCCTAAACATAGCCTCCCCAACAGGCGCTTTTTACTTGTACAGCTTTTACCATAACACCTACCACCCTTTGAGGCTGCTCACCCCACTTCTGGACAGCTTTAACTGCTAGGAAGATTTTCCAGACATTGGAACTAAAAAAGAACCACCCTAATCCCTCAGGCTTTTGAGTAGGTTATGACGCAGTCAAAGCCTTCTCTTCTCCAGGCTAAACATTCCCATGTCTTCCTCCTACAGCAGGGTTCCAAAGCTTTCATCATCCTGGTGGCCCTCCCCTGTGCTCCTTCTCAATGATCCTTCTAAAATGTGTGCCCAGAACAGCTCACAGTACCCCAGATGTGGTCTGGCCAGGGCAGAGGACAGTGAAGTTATCTCCTCTCTTCATGAAGGCCAAGATCCTATTCATTTGCTTTATCTGTTATATCACTTTTTTTTTTCTTTTTTGCCTCATTGAGCTTGCAGCCTGAACCTCAGAATGACCATGTGAAGTAGGTAATACAGGTATCATCTTCCCTATTTCACAGCTGAGAAAAAACAGATATATAGAGAGGCCAAGTGATTTCCCCAAGGTCACATATCTAGAAAGTGGCAAGCCCAGATTGAAAACAAGACAGATAAACCTATCAGTTCAGAGCTATTTGACAACAAAGCACTAGCTTTTGGACTGAAGCTAAAGTTTAGGTGTGCCTATGTAATTTCCTTACTACATGTATTGAGACAGGGAAATATGTTTGCAGGGAAGACTGTAGAATTTCCTGGGAGGCTTCGTTTTTGTTTTTGTTTTAGAATGACACGATCTTTTTTCCCAAGTGGTTTAGACGCAGCTCGGAGTAAAGAACCTCCCAAGGCTCCTTCCAACCCAAGGACTCGGTGATTCGGAGGTTAACTGCAGTGCAGCTGAAAAGCATCAGATCGACATGAATCCTCCATTTAGCCACAGGATAGGTCTATGAGCACGGCTTGAAGTGAGACCCCCTAAAGAGAGCAAAGCTTTCTTTTTATTGCTCCCACCAATACTCTTGCCAACAGTGAAGATTTTATAGGACAAGGGCTGTAGAGTGGTGTTGTCCAGGGCCCATCAAAGGGCAAGTCTTAAGTCATATGTTAGCTGTTTGAACCATAAGCCCATCTCTGGTCTCTTTGCTCCGGTCTCCTAATAGCTACCAAACAAAACAAGTCGATGACAGTGCTCTTGGGGGGCTTCCACATGGTAGAGCAAAGAGTTTTGGACTGGAAGTCAAGAGACAGTGTGGCAGAATTAGAGACAGAAACTCTGGGCTGGAATCCAAGCCCTGCTACTCACGTTGTTTCACAAGGCCTTTTCCCCTTTCTGGAATCAGTTTCCCACAACGTAAAATGAGATGGAGCAGCTGGGTGGCACAATGGATAGAGTGCTGAGCTTGGAATCAGGAAGTCTCATCTTCATGAATTCAAATCCAGCCTCAGACACTTCCCAGCTGTGTGTGTAACCCTGGGCCAGTCACTTGACCCTGGTCACCTCAGTTCCTCATCTGTAAAATGAGCTGGAGAAGGAAATGGCAAACCACTCCAGTACCTTTGCCAAGAAAACCCCAAATGGGGTCACAAAGAGTCAGACATGACTGAAATGACTGGACAACAACAAAAATGAGGTGGTTGGGCTAGATGATCTCTGACGTCCCTTCAAGCTCTAAAAACCGATGGCCTGGGTCCTAGTCTCGTGTCTGAGGCACGGCCTCCACAGAGCGTTTAAGTCGGGACAGGGCATAGCAGACCCAGTCCACTGCCTTGCCGACGCCTCAGATTATGGCTGTGATGTCTGCCAGGGCCTGACTGACTCTTGGAAAGGAACTAAAACTACTATAGAGAACTGGATTCAAATCCTGTCCCTGATACTAACGGTGACCATGAGTTAAGTAACACTCGGCTGCAGTTTTCTCATTCATAAAATAGGGAAAATAATATGATGTCAACTTCACGGGGCAGTTGTGAGGTTCAAATGAAGTAATGTATGCAAAGCACGACATAAAAGTCTGCTTGTATTATCACAAGGCGCTGTCATTGAAGGGCTCTGTTCTTCACATCCCCTACCACAGGGTGCCGTGTTTCCAGTGACAGCCCAGAGCAGTCCATCTATGTGTGGGTGGCTTGGCCACACCGCTGTCCTTTGCCGTGAGGCTTCATCAGCTCGCTGCTCATAGCTTTGATGCGGACAGTAGTAGTCAGCCCAAATTCCAGCCATCTAGACATTTGGCTCTTTTTACCAGGCCCTGTAGAATTTTGCTTCCAAAACTCTGTGCATGCTTCCACCTGAATACATTCTTCTTTTCTTTCTGGACCACAGTTTACCTCCCTTGCTGATAACCTGCACTTGGATGATGCCTGACGGGTACCTGGGGGGCTGGAATGCCAAATAGACAGGGATCATGAGGTTTCAGATGGTTTACCTGTTTAAAAGCAGGCCAGGATAAAAGTGAACAAACCCTGTGCTGGCTGTGTTTGAATTCTACACATCCTCCCTCCCTAGATCCTCCTTTATAATTTTCTTTTGCTGATTTGGGGTCATAATGTCCTCTCTTAGGCCTCTTCAGGTCTTTGTGTTAGAACCCTGCCTGTTCCCAACCTTGGGCTAGGAATTCTCCTATTCAAGTCCTTATGTTAATGACTTGGCTTGTCTGTGAATGGATGCTTTGGACCACGCTGAACTCAGTCATGCTATGATTTCAATACTTTAAAAGATCTGAGGTTTCATCAGTACAGGTACTCCCTCCACAGGTACAGATCACAGCCCATACCTCATAGGATATGACTTGCTGTAATGTTCATCATCTGGTGTCGAGCTTTCTTGGGATGAACCTCCCTACACTTGTCCTTGGACAACAGACACAGAATCCCTCAAAGGACCTGGCTTTGAAGCTTGTTCAGGTTGGAAGGACCTCCCAGAGCTTGGAATTCATTGGCGTATCCTTGAGAACACAAGGTCTCCTCCCTATCCTGATGAGACTTTGGAATAGGTAGAAGCCATGACACAGTTTCATCATTTCACTGCTTTGAATGGAGTAGATGCTGTAAAGATTTTTTTTTTAAAAATAAGTGAATGTTGAAACCTTTCTTCTTCCTATCCAGTGATCTGGCCATGTGCCTACTATTCTTTCCTGAGCCCTCAAGTATATCCTTTAGCTAGGAAAACAAAACAAAAACAAAATTCCAAAGGGTCACTGGAGGGATCATTATCAGATTCCAAGGTGGACATGAAAATATACCTTTTTTCTTGGAAAGGTGCTGATCAGCAAGGCCATCATTGCCCACTTCGCTTCTCTCTCCCCTCTAATCTAGCCTTCTGATCACTGCCTGGATAACATTCCTTAGGTACAGATCTGGTCATGTCATTATTTTGCTTAGAAATCTTAGTTGGATGGGGGCAGCTAGGTGGCACAATGAATAGAACACTGGCCCTGGATTCAGGAGGACCTGAGTTCAAATCCAGCCTCAGACACATAACACTTACTAGCTATGTGACCCTGGGCAAGTCACTTAATCCCACTGCCTGGCCCCCCAAAAAAAGGAAAAAAAAAAGAAATCTTCATTGGATCCCTATTGCCTATCAAGAAAAATGAAAAATCCAAACATCTTTTCCTGGCATCCAAGGGCCTCTACAAGCCCTGCCTTTTCAGATTTATCTCAAATTACTCCCCTCCAAATTCTCTAAATTTTAACCAAACTGGACTATTCTCTACCAGCCCCTTTCCTACAAGACTGGGTGACCTTTCACACCTCAATGCCTATGCTTAGATTCTTCCCTTTGTCCATTTAATTCCTTTGTTGTTGTTATCATTCAGTCGCGTCCGACTGTTCATGACCCTAGTTGGGATTTTCTTGGCAAAAATGCTAGAATCATTTACCATTTCCTTCTCCAGTTCATTTGACAGATGAGAAATTGAGGCAACTGAGGTAAGTTTCTTGCCACGCGTCACACAGATAGTAAGTGTCTGAGGCTGGATTTGAACGCAGGTCTTCCTGACTCCAGGTGCAGAACTCTATCCACTGTACCACTTACCTGCCCATTTAATTCCTACTCAATCCCTTCAAATACAATTCGAATGTCACCTTTTTGGGTAAGCTTTGCAGAGCCTGTCTTGATTTCCTCCTGGTGTCACCAGCACCTAGTACACTGGCTGGAAAATATTGAGTATTCAATAAAAGTTTGTGGTTGAGCTTGAAGCTTTTCCTAATTCTTTTCCACTCTACCCCTTGAAGTCCTCAGACTTCACATAGCACTTTGTGACTTCCCAATGCAATTTTCACTCGATCTTATATAATTATCTATTTTGTCTCTCTACTAGACTATAAGCTACTTGAGGCCAGGAATTGTGTTTGTTTGTTTTTTACTCTGCCCTAGCACTGAGCACAGAACTCAGCACACAGTCAATAATAAATATTAATAAATTTGTATCGCAGGCAGTTGAAGAAAACCAGAATCTCAGAATTAAACCCAAGCCCAAATGGATCCAAGCAAGTCCTGTCTGGCTCAGCTTATTATCTTTATAACTAAGGGAAGATGATCCACTTGGATGTGACTTTGCTCATAATAAAGGAGAGTCCCACATTAGATTCTGAAGAGCGGATAACATGAAAAACCACAAGGCACAGCAAAGTGAAATGGCAACTAAAGAAATTACACTTGCATTTTCTGAAGCAAATTAGCAATTAGCACGGCTGGCTTGCTATTCATCTTGCTTCAGTGCTCCCCTCTGGTCCTCTCTGGTAGGCTCTCTTGGTGCCTGCAGAGAGAAAGGCTTGGCTACCGACCCAGATCCCTTGACTGGAACCCGGGCAGAGAAGGCCCTCCAGCATCACCAGAATGATTTCAAGGTACTGAAATGATCAAAACACCTCACTTCTCTCTCCAGATCTCGAACTCGGTTGTTCAGTTGTTTCACTCTGGTCTTTTCACTTTCTGTCTGAGCCGTCAAGTCTCGGTTCTTCTTGGACAGCTCCACAATCTTGGTCGCGATTACATCTCCGGCCAAACCAGCGGTCCCTGGATAAAATAAAAACGTAGCCCTCTCAGACATGGAACCCCAGAGCTCTCCTCTGGCATTTCTCAGGCTGAGCCCTCTGTTGGGACTCTACAGCACACATTAACCCCACAAAGTAGGCAGAGGTCAGAGCTCATCAGGCAATTCACAGCAATTCAAGAGTTGCCATTTCTTAGGAGAAGAAGCATCATTCCCCTAAGGACTCCATGTATTAAGAAGGGCAAAGACTATTGTCCTCACTTTATAGGGGAGGAAATTGAATCTTCAAGAAGTGACTCATGGGGCAGCTAGGTGGCATAGTGGATAGAGCACCAGCCCTGGAATCAGGAGGATCTGAGTTCAAATATGGCCTTAGACACTTAACACTTACTAGCTGTGTGACCTTGGGCAAGTCACTTAACCTCATTGCCTAGCCAAAAAAAAAAAAAGGAAAGGAAAAATAAAGTGACTTGTGCAGCTAAATCTTGCAGCCCAGACTCAAGTACAGGTTCCAAGGTTCTTCTGGTTCTAAGACTTCTGCTCTTTCCACCAACTGACTGACTGTATCATGTCGACGAAACCTATGAGTGTTGCATCCTTTGAATGTAAACACGGCTGCTTTGGGATCCTATAGACTCTAGCTTTAAAATATAGAAAGATAGTAGGTCAGGACTAGAAGATTCAATGACCATCTAGTCCAACCCTTTCATTCTGGAGATTGAGAAAATTGAAGTTCAGAGACTTTTGGAGTTGTTCTAGGTCACATAGGTAGTTTGTAGTAGGTTTGTGATGTCATCTAGATTCTGTGACCCCTACTTTAGGAAGGACCTCAGCCATGCCTGCCTCCCCTCACTCATGCCTACATTCTCTAGGCATTTCCTCCTTCTCCTCCTCTTCCTCCTCCTCCCCCCCCATCTGAGATATTTTCCCCAAGTCATTCCAAGTTCCTAGCTATAGGTATTGCCTCCTTTACTAGAATGTAAGCTACTTGGGGGTAAGAACCTTCTAGCTTGCTTGTATTTGTGTCCTTAACGTTTAGCACAGTGCCTGGCATACAGTAAGTACTTAATAAATGCTGTATCTATCAAGTTAATAGCAGGGCCAAGACGCGAACCTAAGCCTGATTATTCTTAAATCCTGGGTTCTTCCCACTACACCACAGCACCTATGAAGTCAGAAATCAAAGTTTCAACTTTGGAAAGAAACATAGCACAGTGGGGGAAACTGAACTAGAACTGGAAACCAAGAACTCTGGATTCAAATCCTCCAACTCTCTCTCACTTGCTGTGAAACCTCAGACAAATCCCATGTCATCAGTGATCCTCAGCTTCTTTATCTACATAATATAAGAGTGTTGGCCTAAGGGAGCTTCAAGGTGCCTTCCGATTCTGACATTCCATGATTCTATCTACCGTGAGCTCCTAAGATTTTGCAGGAATTCTTTTCATTGACTTAACAAAATTGCTATACAGACTGAGAGTGCCACCTGGTGGAAGATGGTTACACTCAAGAACAGCACAGATTTCATAAGATTTAAAGCCGGAAGGAACCTTACATGTAATCTAGCCCAGCAAATACCACGGGGGGGTACAAGAAGCATGTCAAGGAGGTATGGGGAATACAAGGTAAATAAGAATATTATCCTATAGAAACATTCCAAAAGTAGTACTGTTTAAAACAATGGACTGAAGAAAGAACAGCAAGGAGGTGAGCAGAGGTGGGAAGGAGGCTTATATAACATCTAAAAAATTTGAAATAGTTGAAGAAATAATTCCTATTGACCAAAAGCAAAAGAATGAGGTTTGCAAGCCAGAGGCTGGATCCCAGAACCCCACTTTCCTCTTCTGCTTTGTGTTTCTTTGCCTGATTATAGGTGAATGAGCAGCAGCCCTGAGATGGACATTTCCTGCCCTGGAGGCTACCTTGTGAATCTGAAAGGTCCAGAAGTCCTAGGTCCCTTGAACAAAACTGACTGATATCGGGGGAGGAGCTCTGTCCCTGGCCAGGGTTGCCAGAAGACAGGGAGGGGGTAATTACGAGTGGACAGTGGCAGAGCTGAAGTGAAATGTGAAATGCCAATTAAGCAGTCCCACAAAATGCTTTGTTTTCATGGCTTTAAGTTTCTACCTCCTAGGAGATTATAACAATATGGAGGACACACTTGTGCAAAGTTGTCACATACGAGGAACAAAGAGGTCAGTGTGGCTGGATTCCAGAGTGGGGGAGGGGAGGTAATGTAAAATAAGGCTGGAAATATAATTTTGGACCAGATTGTGAGGGTCTTCAAAGTTCTAGGCTGGTTTTTTGGGTTTTTTTTTTTAAGAAAATCTATTTATCCTAGAGACAACTACTATACTTGATCAAGCAGGGGAAAGACATGGTCAGATCTGCAATTAAAGAAAATTGGTGTAGCAGCAGTGTGGAAGATGGACTGGAGTGGAGAGAGACTTGAGACAGGAAAACCAAGTAAGGCTGTTGAATTAACCCAAGTGAGAAGTGACGAAACGTATTAACTATGTGAGTAGAGAGGAGATGGATCCAGACGTGTAGCAGAGAAAAAACCAGCAAGGTTTGGCAACTGGGCAAGTGAGGTGGGACGGTGAGTCAAGGAGAATGTAGACAGATGGACAGACAGAGAGACAGAGATAAATAGGTAGCAGATAGAGAGATATATAGATGATAGGTATGTAGGTAGATGACAGGTAGGTAGATAGATAGATAGACAGACAGACAGACAGACAGACAGACAGATAGATAGATAGATAAGTAGATAGATAGAAGAATTTATTATGTGCCAGGCACTGTACTAAGATTGGGGATACAAAAATAAGAAAACAAGGTGTTCTATACTCTCAAGGAGCTTACATTCTGCAAGGGAGAAGGAAAGGTCCCCATATGGGGACCTGGGTAGCTGTGGTGAACGTGGAACAAACTGGAGGGTGACCTAGAAGTGTAAAGTGAGTGATACGGCTGGGTCTTCTCATGATACATCAGTTGCAAGCAGGGACTCACCATTCACTGAGTTGGCTTCAGGGTAGAATTGTCCCTCAGAGGGGCCAGGCAGTTAGAGTAGAGGTGGAATAGACCAGAAAGTGAACCAAAAGTAGAGAAAATGAGCAAAGGTTTCAAATGTGGGAGACTAAAAAATGGTAGTCCCTTTGACAAAAACAAAGATAAGTTCTGTTTTGGACGTGTCAAGTTTAAGATGTGTCCTGGACATACAGTTTGAAATATCCAATAGGCAATAGTCAATGTGAGGCTAAATACATAGATGTGACTCAGGTGCATAGAGGTAATAATTAAACCCACGGGAATCAATGAGGTCACAAAGAGAGAGTATAGAGAGACCCTGGACAGAGCTTTGGAGCACACGTATAATATGAATGATAAACCAGCAAAGGAGATTGAGGAACAGTTAGAGTCCCAGGAGTGGGGAACCTGCAGCCTCGAGGCCACATGTGGCCTTCTAAGTCCTTTGATGTGGCCTTCTGACTGAGTCCAATTTTTATAGAACAAATCCCTTTATTAAGTGATTTGTTCTGTGAAGTTTGGATTCAGTCAAAGGGCCACGCTTAAGACCGCACGTGTCTAACCGTTAGACAGATGGGAGGAAAAGAATCAGGAGCAAGTAGTGTCATGAAAGCCCAGAAAGATGAGACTACCCAGGAGGGAAGGGGAGTCAGCAGCGTCAAAGGCAGCAGACAGGGGAAAATCTGGTCCTTAAGAGACTGTAAGTAACTGTGCTATAGGATCTGAGTGACTTCAGATGGAGCAGTTTCAGTGACTCATGAGGTCAGATTACAAAGGGTTGAACAGTGAGAAGAAAGGAAAAGGAGGCCGAGAGCACAGATTTTTTTTTTCTAGGAAAGATATACAACAGTAGTTTAAGGGATTGGTAGTATCTAGTGATGTTTTTTTTCTTTTAAGGAAGGAACAGATGTGAGCATGTTTTGGGGCAGAAGTGAAGGAACCATTAGAAAGAGGGAGATATTAAAGATTAGAGGGAGGGATGATTGAGGTTTCAATCTGCTGGGAAACTTGAAAGGAGGTAGGTTCAAGGGCACATATAGTTTGGTCTTCATAAGGAGAAGGGCCACCTCATCGTTACAGAATGGAGAAAGTGAGAAGAGAGTAGAGCGTGATATCAGGGAGTTTTGAGATGAAGAAAAGGGGAGAAGATGGGAGCTCATGTTGAAAAGAGACAATTTTCTAAGAAAAGTAAGAGATGAGGTCCTCAGCTGAGAGAGTGGGGAAGGGAGGCATGGAAGCCTTGAGGAGAGAAGAAAAGGTATGGAACAGCCTCTGAGGATAGTGAGAAAGAGAATAGGTTAGGGAGGAGTAAAAGCTTTGCCTTTTGGGGCAGCTAGGTGATGAAGTGGATAAAGCAGCAACCCTGGAGTCAAGAGGACCTGATTTCAAATCCAGCCTCAGACACTTGAGACTTACTAGCTGTGATCCTGGGAAAATCACTTAATCCCGATTGCCTTGCCAGGAAAAAAAAAAAAAGCACTGCCTTTCCTCAGTTTGGATCCAGTGGGAGTTGGATAGCATTAATATATGATGTGCCCAGTTAGCATGGCTATGAGACGTCCTCAGCTCCACTGAGCGGCAACGTGAGGAGCAAACGGTAAGAGTCATGCGAAGGTGAGGTTTGACTAAGAATGAGAATCAACAGGACAAGACGGTGAGGAACTCTAGAGTAAAGGACGGTATAGAACTATACCGGCTAACTAGAGGGCCAACACTGGAAAAGAAGGAAAGTGGAGTTGTAATAGGGCTAATGGCTTGAGAAAACACTAAGCTCAGAGAGGAGGGACTGGAGGCCACAATGAATCAGGAAAAGAATAGATTTAAGGAGAGTGAGGTTTTGAAAGAGATGGAATGATACATATGATCAGAAAGAAGAATATCAGAGCATTTGGGTTTTTGTTGTTTTTTTTTTTTTTAATTAAAGAAGTGGAACACCTGTGAATAATGGTGAACTCCAGGATGTAACCATTCCAATCTGTGGCTAAGATACGGAGTAAAAGAATAGGACATGGAATTTAAGTAGACTGAGGACTAGGAAGTTAGGGAGTCTGAGGGAGCCTCAATATGGATTTCAAAGCCTCCTAGTATGAGGAGAGGAATTGGGGAGAAGAGGAAGATGGTGAGCCAGTTGCTAGACTCCTTGAAAAAGGAAGAGAGAATTATGTGGGGGCAATATACAATCTCTATTGTGATCTCAATTGAATGGAAATTTTTAATTGTGTGAACTTCAAAGAAGTTACTGAGTAATAGGGATAAAGTGAGAGTCTGAAAGTGGTAGAGTATGACAGAAAGAGGCCCAGGACGATGTGAAGGTTGTTCACTATGGAGAGGGAATTCCAGAGGGCAGGAATGGAATGGGAATGGGAAATAGAATGGAACAGGAAAAGAGAGGTAGAGATTGGGCATAGTTTTCTCCTGTGTGGCTGCTGATTGATTAACATAGGGATAGAGAGAGAAACAGGTCATGGAAAATTGTTAGGGATAATAGTGGTAAGTAGTAGCAGATGAATAATAAAGTTCACAATCTCCCAGGGTGTCAAGCCTTAGTCATTCTTTACTTTTCCTCCTGTAGGGGGGGAGGGGGGGAGGCAAGGAGAGAAGGGCTGGCAGTCAGGGCCATGCTACAAGCCATGTGCCTCCATAGGGAGAAGACACTGGTCTCCTTCAGCAGGATGCTCCTCTTCCTCTTCCTCCCTGCAGGGCTGGGGAAAAAGTAGGAGGGAGGAGATGGTGTTGCCAGGATGGTGGCAGAGGACCATCCATCCTTCCAGCTGACCAGATCCAGCTTCTCTGATGTACAGGTCTGGTCACGTCACTCATTCAAGGCCCTTCTGTTTTGATTTCCCTTCTATGTATTATGTGCTCCAGAAAAACTGAACTACTGGACCTCCTTGTGTTTTCCTGCCACCATACCTTTAAAAGCTCACACATTCTGAGCTCTTCTCTGTGATTGGAGTGTTCTCCCTTTCCTTCTGCCTTTGGAATTCCTACACATTCTTTAAAGTCAAAGTCAAATGGCATCTCCTCCAAGAAACCTTCTCTGATCCCCTACCACACAGAAATAACATTCTCCTCCATCCTCGACTACCAGATTTCAAATAGCATGTTTCTTAAGATTTTGTACTACATTCATTGATCTATATATGTGCTTATCCCACTTCTGGATTGTGAAACCCATGAGTGTCTTAGCTCAACTTTGTATCTCCTCCAGTAAGGAGAATAGAACTCAGTACATAGCAGACACTTAATAAAAACCTCCTGGATTCAGTTATATTTGTAGCTATTAGGGTTCCTTTTGAAGCATTCATTACATTTGGGGAAAGAAAAGTAAATCTCTCCCTTCCATTCACTGACTGTCTGATGAAAGACTGGCCAATCACAGCACTGAAAATGTCCGATGAAGGATGCCATTTATTATTTCAGTCACATTGCCCTGCAGTGCTGCCCAGAATCACATCTAGCCCATGGCTCCAATCATCAGTCACTGCGAAGCATTCGCTTGGGCTGATCCTAGCAACGATGAGAGGGAACAAGGGTGGTGCTAAGTGATGGATGCTAATCTCAGCTTGCCTTCTGTGTGGCCTGGTCCATAGGTTCCTTCCACCTAAATATTGCATGGGTGGACAGAAGTTTTTGGAGCAGCCACAATACATTTAGGGAGCTCTTTCAAGGGTTCTTTTGACTGAATTAACAATAATAGCTCTCAGGGCAGCAGTGGATAGAGCACCAGCCCTGAAGTCAGGAGGACCTGAGTTCAAATCTGTCCTCAGACCAAACACTTGTCACTTACTAGCTGTGTGACCCTAGGCAAGTCACTTAACCCTAATTGCCTAAAAAAAAACCCAAACAAACAAACAATAACAAGCTCTCAGTAATATGGCACTTTAAAGTTTTCAAGTTTTCCTCACAATAACCCTATGGGGGAGGTAGTATGAGGCAAGGACAATGAGGATCTGAAAAGTTACATGACTCACCCATAAGCACACAACTAGTTAAGTATTAGAAGCAGGATCTGAATTCAGGTGACATGATTCTAGGAGCAGCACACCACACCACATCCCATCACATCACACTGCCTCCCTCACAAGGGGCCAAGTGTCAAGAAATACCCTAAATGAAGATCTCTTCAATCTGCCATCATGACCACATTTACACATGCCAGCTCAATGCTACTTTCATTCAGTTTGGTCACAGCCTTCAAAAGAACCATGGGATGCACAGATTTAGAGACATCTCCACTCCAAGTGTTCACATGGACTATCTGTGCCTGACCTGGGGTAGAGCCTTCCAAGCTCGCATTGGTCTGATCAGCCCCAGCTGGATACACTGTGCCTTGACCCCAACATAGAGATGTCATTTTGGTCCTCTTCAAGCACCAAAGGACAACAACCAACCATTATACCCTCACTTATGTAGGGTTCAAGTTGCCTAAAATCTGTTTTTTATTTCCAGATTTGTTTTGGGATCTTGGAGCATAAACCTTAAAATCCTAAATGTCTCTCACATGTAATGATTCTGCTATCATTTACATGAATGCCATAAGGGTTTCATTGATATCTATCAATATTTTTAAATCCTTAGAATAAAGACTCTCTAAACCACATATTATCATTACATGTCTTCCCTGGTTTGCACTTGTCCATTCCTTCAGCCTACCTGGGTGACCATAGAAATTCTCCTTCCTTCTCCCCCCACCAATGGGATTTATCTTCTCTTCCCCCTCATTGAGACTCTGCTATTGGTTTCAATGCTAATCCCCTATTCCTGCTTTTCACCTTACCCGAGGTCTAGTCTAGGGTAAGGTCTAACTTTGTTTCCACTAACCTAAGAGGAAGAGATTACTACAACCTGGTCTAGCCAAAGAGGGGACTCATTGTATCTTAAGAAGCTGGTGAAGCTATGAAGGTACAGAAGGTAGAAACATCTCTAAAGCCTGTGAAGAACCTGAGAAAATGAGGCATATAAAGAGGGAAAGAGGAGAGGACAGCTGTGGACCATGAAGCCTTCCTGCCTGGGTCACTCCTGCACACATTTTTCAGAATATTAGAGTGAGAAGGTCCTTTAGAATATAAAACACAGAATTTCATCCAGTACAGATTTCTCATTCTACAGTTGATGAAACAGGCTCAGGGATGGGAAGCAATCTCTCTGAGGTCATAGAGCAAGCAAAAGTAAGAAAACCAAGACTAGAAAGTAGGTCTTCTGACTCAGAAACCAGCATTCTTTTCATGATAGTACACTTCCTAATTCCCCTTCAGGGAGTCAGCTGAAAGGATTTACTGAGCAGCATTTGAAAAACTTTTTACCTGGTCTCTCTCTGGGTCTCAGTTCCCTCATCTGTAAAATGGAGGAGTTGGACTAAATTATGACTGAAGTCCCTTCCAGCATTAAGACCCTTTGTCCCTTATGGCTCTGCAATGCCAAGGAAACACTGGGGCAAAATGGGCCTCCCTCGAGGAAGGTCAGAACTTTCGGAGGTCAATGTTGACTACCCCCCTCCTCCACCCCAGGCACCTACGGGACCTGGTACCGGGCACAATGTCTTAAAGCCAGCCATAATTCCTCATCTCATACAATAGCCCTTGTCTGTCGCTTTCTAGACTATGAGATTTACAATGTACTGTATTATATATCTTCCTGCAACAGTCACTGAGACAATTTTTCTCTGAAGTGGTGACATCCCAAGTTATAACTTCCCCTGACCTCCTTATTGCAGGGAAGTGTCTAATCACACTCTCTCTCTCTCTCTCTCTCTCTCTCACACACACACACACACACACACACACACACACACACATATTCCAATACACATACTATATGATCTCCAGTAAAGAACCCTGGGCAGGGTATCAGAAGCCAGGGTCCTAATCCTAGCTCTACCACCACCATTGAGCTATGTGACCCATGGTACACATGACCTATGGACCTGAAGTGTAGACTCATGGGGTCACAGTCCATTAGGGCTAGGAGGTACCTTACAGGTAGACCACGTAGTACAACTTCTTCATCTCATAGACGAGGAAACAGAGTCCCAGAGAAGTTAAGGGATTCTCCAAAGTCCTGCAGCCCTACCTGTGAAAGCCCATCGATCTTCTTCTATTTTCTTCTTGAGGTGCTTTATTTCAAAGTCCTTTTCCTTTACCAGTTTATACAATCTTCCATTTTCATCTACAATTTCTCTGAGTTGTTCATGGAGCTGTTCAATCTCTTCTTCAAGCAACCTACAAGTCAAAGCAGTCATCATTTCATTTGATGTCTCCTCCACTAACATTCTCCTTCAATGAATCCCCATGATGCGGAAGGGACCCTATGTTCTCAAAAATTATCTCAAAGTAACGCATAGTTCCTCTCAAATTTGGAAAGGCTACAAATGGACTGTGTCTGTCATCTGAGGCCCAGACTCATTAAACTCAGAAAAGGTAACCGATAGAGTGACCAACAGGTAATAAATGAATGCTTTTCGTCACAACACTGGAAGAGCCAGAAGACATGGAGGGGGCGCCCGTACCAAAGAGATCACTGATCATTTAAGTACTGAATGAATGCAATGAGAACTTGAGAGACATTTAGGAAAAATGACAAGGGTAGGGATCCATTCTGCTATTATAAAGATCAATCTCAGCATACCAAGAAAACAAAAAAGACCTCCATTGAACTTTATTTAGAAGTCAGAGTTCTTTCAGGTTTGTATGTGGTTATATCCTGGGAAGATTGAGGCAAAAAAGCTAAAAGGGCAAAAGAGAAAATGATAGAGGATGAGCTTTAAGGAAGTCTCATAAACATACCATCACATTAAAACCAATCAGCTCCTGGGAAACCCACTAACATTATGCTGAACACATTTCTTTAATGCAAAACAGTCTCTTCTTTCCACAGAGGAAATCAAGTGAATAAACAAAATCATAATGAGCATTCATTTCAATTTGACTTTAAATGCTAGGCAAATACATTTGTATAAAATTATGTAAACAGAGCACAGGCCTTCAATCAAATGTACCAAACACTAAAGCAAATACTATATTGAAATCAATCTCTCGTACTTAAAAAAAAAAAATCTAAGCATCATGATTTTGGAACCAATATCTTTCATCATTTCTCTTATTCCCCCTTTCTTCCCTAACTCTATATTTCTCCTAGTGGAAATTTTCTGGGCACATGTGTCAATTTACCTTTGGCTGAAGGTATTCTTGGCTGGCTGCCCACCCTCGCGAAGCAAGTTTAGCTCATTCTGGATTCCAAATGTTGCCTTTGGGTCATTTCCACCTCCTTTGAGGCTCATATGTTTTTCCCTTTTTTTCTCCAGCTGTCTTTGTAACCTCTTGTGCTGCTGTTCCTGTAGAGCCTTAAACTGAAGCCGTAAATTCTCATGCATCCCTTCCTCAGATTCCATTCTGTGCTAAAAACAACCACAACCACAACCAGAAAGTTGATTAATAAGATGATCAGAGAATTTAGATGATGCTTTCTGAAAACTTCTTTAATAGATTTTTAAATATTTTTTTAATTTAAAAAATCTAGTTTCTCTCCATCCCACTTTCATCCACTCCATTGAAAAAAGAAAAAGAAAAGGAAGATAAAATCCTTTATACATAGCAAAGCAAATTGGTCATGTCCAAAAAAGTATCTCATTCTGCACTCTGAGTCAATCATCTCTCTGCTAGGGTCATGTTTCATCATGCATACACTGGAATTATGGTTGGTCATTGTGTTGACCAGAGTTCTTAAGTTTTTCAAAGCTATCTTTTACAGTGTTGTTATATAACTTGTTCTCCTGGTTCTGCTCACTTCACTCTCTATCAGTTCATACAAATCTTTCCAGGTTTCTTTTAAATCATAGGTTAGGTGGTAGAGTGGATAGAGTCCTGGACCTAGAATCAGAAAAACCTGAGTTCAAATACAGCCTCAGACACTTATTAGCTGTGTGTCCTTGGGCAGGTCACTTAACCTGTTTGTTCCAATTTCCTCAGCTATAAAACAAAGATTGTAATAGAACCTACCTGTCAGAGTAGTTATGAGATTCAAATGAGATCATAATGGTAAAATGCTTAAGTAAAAGCTACATAAATGCTAGCTATAATTATTATTATTAAACCATCCCTTTTGTCATTTCTTATATTTCAATAATATTCTATTATTCATATGTCATAATTTATTCAACTATTCCCCAGTAGATGGGCTGCCCTCCCTTAGTTTCCAGCTCTTTGCTTCTACAAAAAGATATGCTATATTTTTGTACTGGGGAGGGGGGGTGGTCCTCGTCCCTGTTTTTTATTTCTTTGGGGCATAAACCTAGTATTAGTATTGGCTATAGCCAGGTCAACAGATATGCACAGTTTATTAACTTTTGGAGTATAACTAGACCAAATCACAGCTCCACCAAGAAAGTATAAATGTGCCTGCTTTCCCATATAGCCTCCAACAATTGTAATTTTATTTTTTGTCAGCTTTGCCAATCTGATGGCTGAGGAGCAGTATCTCAGAGTTTCTTTAATGTGCCTTTCTCTAACTATTAGTGATTTGGGATGTTTATTCATATGGCTTGGATTTCTCCTTTTGAAAACTGTTGTTTCATATCCTTTGACCATTTATCAATTGGGAAATAGCTCTCATTCTGATAAATTCGAAATTTTCTGAAAACTTCAACAAAATTATCACAAAAGTCCATCTTATAGCACTTCATTAGAACTGATTCATTTACAATTAATCAGCAAGCATGTATTAAGTATCTAATATGAACTAGGCAAGAAGACTTGAGTTTAAATTTCTCTCTCGTTGGGTCTGTAACCATGATCAAGTCACTTAGCTTTGCTAAGCCTTAGTTCCTCATCTGTAAGACAGAGATAATAATGCTACCTAGTCTCACTGGATTATTTTGAGAGAGTACTTTGTAAACCTTAAAGTCTTTATAAGAATTTGTCCCAATTTTGTTGTGAGTCACTCATTCATTAACAAACAGATACCTACTACATACAAAGCATTGCACTAGGTGCTAAGGGAGATGCAAAATATAAATCCAGCACAATCCCTGCTATTCTAATATCTGGAGTCTAGAAAAGAGGAGAGGCATGGGCTGAGCTCTTCCTAGTCTGCCCAATTAATCTCTTAAGGTCTTCTCCATTTCTTATGTTCCATGTTTAATTCAATTTACCAAACATTAAGCATTGACTTACTGTGCTCCATTCAAGGAAAGGGGGAAGAAGTCTGAGATGTGGTTTAGATAAGGCACAGTCCCTGTGTAAGGCATGTTCAGAGGACAGAATGTTGTTCAGTTTGGCGGGAGCACAGACTACATGGAGGAGAGTACTTGGAGATAAGACTGGAAAGACAGGGTCATGCCAGATTGTGGAAGGCCTTCAATGACAGTTAAAGAAATTTAAACTTTATTAAGTAGGTAATGTGAGCAGCTAGGTGGCACAGTGAATAGAGTTTCAAGTCAGGTCAGGAAGACCTGAGCTCAAATCCTGCTTCAAACACAGTCTGTGTGGCCCTGGGCCAGTCACTTCACCCTGTTTGCCTCAGTTTTCTCACCTGTAAAATGAGCTGGAGAAGGAAACGGCAAGCCACTCCTGTATCTTTGCCAAGAAAATCCCAAATGGGGTCATGAAGAGTTGGACAGGATTGAAATGACTGAACAACTACAAAGTAGGTAATGGGGAACAACTGCAGATGTTTGAACAGAAGAACAGATTTACGTATAAGGAAGATTTATGTAGGATGAATTGAAAGGAGGCAAAAGTAGAGGTGGGTCAAACCACACTCTCATGTGCATAGTAAACACAGAGTATCTCTCTCTTACTAGAGCATGGAAATCTTAGCACGTAAGTACTATTATTCTCCCTTGACTACAGAATCATAGGATGTCCGAGCTGACACAGAGGTTCAAGTGAGGCCCTTGCATCTTGTGTAAGGTTACATAGCTACCACGGGGCAGAATCAGAATTCAACCACAAATTTCTAACTCCATTCTCCTTGCTTTTACAACGATGCTATACTGCCTCCAGAACATAGAAAGGTATTAGAAACTATATTCACTTTCATTAAATGTATCTTTTTTTCAGTACTTTCATTCAGTACTAAAATAAGTCTATATATTTCATGTGTTATTTTTGATGGTTTTTCTGAGATAATGAACTATACATTAATATGGAATAATTTTCATTAGGTTTTTTTTTTTTAGTGGTGAGAAACAGCATGACATTACTGACCTTATGTCCCACTAAAGTTAAGATCCAATCCTGACCCTGACACTTAGTAGCGATGTAACCAAGGACAAGTCATGCACTCTTTCTAAGCTTCACTTTCCTCATCTGTAAAAAAAAGGTTAAGTACCTAGCCCACAGGGTTGTTTTCAGGAAATGATACAATGTATGCAAAATACTTTGTAAACTTTAAAGCATTATATAAACGCATGGTACTATTAAGTTAGAGGTATATAAGGGTAGCTTTCTCCTTAATCAAGTGGTTTTGCTTGGCAAGTGTTTCTCCATCCTCTGGACTTTTGGAGAAGCCCAAATGGCCAATCCCAAGTTTATCGTACCATCCATTGGACTATTACTACTAAGTACCTGAAAATGTCTCCCTCTGAAGGCTTATAGCCCAGAGGGAATAAAAACAAGCTCTGGGATATCTCACCTTGAAGTTTGCAAAGTTGTTTTGTTTTTTTTTTTTTCCCTTCTCAACAACCCTAAGAAGGTGGGGGCGGCATGAGTATTATCGTGCCCACTCTAGAAAAAAGGATCTTCGAGAAGGGGAACAAGCTGCCTGTGAGTGACCTTCCGACCAGCAAGGGTCTGAGGGGGCTCCACGCAGATCCGCTGCCAGAGTCCCAACCCATGGCACTGGGGGAGGAGGAAGACAGCCCGCCCTGGCTCTACCACTGATTGACCACCCCGTGAGAGCCGAGGAGGCCTGTACCTGGTGGCTGGGCCTAATTTTCCTCCACTATAAAATGAAGATGATTCTCCCAAAGTTGTCATAAAGAAAGTGATTTTACAAATTTAATCTGCTGTAGAGAGTTTAGTTAATAATAATAACAAATCACAAAGGCGATTTTTAGCTAATTTTAGATTTAGATTTTTGCTAATAACAATTTGGCTAATAACAATAAATAACAAAAAATCGCAAAGGGGTATGTTATGATGTAAGATTCCTAAAAACAGATGCAGAGTGAGAAAAGCAGGACCAGGGGAACAATACAGTGGATGACAGTGAAAATATAAAGGAAGCCAGACTCAGAAATTGTAATAACCAATCCCAATCCTAGACAACAGATAATGATTTTATATGTGTGTGTGTGTGTGTGTGTGTGTGTGTATACACACACATATATGTATATATAAAATATACATTTCATATAATAAATATATGCACATATATCGTGGCTCAATGGAAAGAATGTTGACTACTGGATTTGAAATCAGAGGACTGGGCCTCAGTTTCCTCATCTGTAAAATGATGATGACCTCTGAAGTCCTTTCTATCTCTAAATCTATGATCACATGACCTTTGAGGCCTTCTAACTCTTACCCTGTGCTCCTAAAGTACTCTTGACAGAGAGGTAGAGAGCTACTAGGACAGAATGTTGCATACATTATAAGACTCAGTCACTGAATCAGTTGTTTTTTACATAACTGGTTTCGTTTTTTTTTTTTTCTGTTACAAAGGAAGGTCTAATTCCAGGGTGGAGTTAGGGGCTATATCTAGATATGGGTGTGATGTAAAAACAAAAGGCATCAATAATTTTTTTCAAAAGAATGAACTTGGGGCAGCAAGGTGACACAGTAGATAGAGCACTGGCCCTGGAGTCAGGACGACTTGAACTCAAATCCCGCCTCAGACACTTGACACTAGCTGTGTGACCCTGGGCAAGTCAGTTAATCCCAATTGCCTCACCAAAAAAAAAAAGAATGAACTTGTATCAAATGTGTTTCTTATTACCTGTGTAGCCTTTGGCAGTCACTTCCTTCTCTGAGCCTCAGTTTCCCCAAATGTAAAATGCTGGTCTCTGAGGTCCCTTCCAGGTCTAAATCCCATGGTACCATAATCTTTCTTTGCCTTTTAAGGCCTGCAGAGAGTCATACCTTACCACACACACTGGAAACAAACTCCCTCCTATGAGTTCTTCTTAGTCCTCTACCTGTGCCCCTCATGTGACACCCAATCTTATATTCTCTTTGATGTCTTTTTTTTAATCAAATTGGCCAATGGTTTTTTTTTCAAAATTTGAAAACAATTTTTTTTCAAAAATATCACCTTTCTACTGTTGTCTTATACTGTTATTTAATTGTTTAATGCCTGTCACATTCCCTATTCAATTGGAGGCTCCTTGAGGACTGGGACCCTGAACTTCATAGGAGACAGCCAGCTGGTGCCATGGGTGAGAGGACCCTGGGCTTA